ACCACGCATGGTACCACGTGGGTGTGAGCATGCGCAGATTGACTTGCCGCACTGGCTAGACCACGTGTTGGACTTCTTTAGTTCTTCTTCGAGCTTCTTCTCGTTCTTTTGTTCCTTGACTTCCTATAGATGTTGACTCTGACTTATAACTCCTCAGAAATTGTCTCTCACTGGGCTGACCATATGGATTAAGTTGAAGTTAGGCTTACTTTTATTGAAAATTGTTATACACCACGAGATCAAACTTATGAACCTACATCAGTGTCTTATTGTCAAGAATGGGGCAAGCTAAGTGATGCTTCATCTAACGGGAGAGGAGCTAATTATAGCACGATTCAAGTTGCTGAAGACGTTGATTTGACTCTAACGACTAATACAGAGACACTGGTACAAGATGACGTCCCACTAAAGAAGCTGAGGCCTCAACACAAAATGGCCTCATGTTGTTTTTGTAAAGGAACCACTGGAGCAGTAAGTGTCCTTACAAGGATACTCTTGATGTTACGACTGAGGAGTCCCTAACGAGCTTGGAGTCTTGAGTGAAGTAAGTACAGGATTGATTTACTTTCAAGTACTGTCGCTTTAGTGTTGCAAAGCTATAGTATTTAGTGTTTTTTTAATTTACCAGGTGTTTACGGTACTTTTCCACTCAATGGAATTTTGAGTAGCATTGTTATTTTTAATGTATGCCGTATTGCTAAAATAAAAGCACAAAAATAATAATAATAATAATAATAATAATAACAATGTACTTTTCTTTCTCTCTCATTACTTATTAACAACAACTACATTTCTTATCTTTCTTACGAGGGATTTGTAATGAGCTTGGAGTCTTAAGAGAAGTAAGTAAAGGATTGATTTTCTGATGGTCATGTACTGTCCCTTTTAATATTATAAAATTTTAGTATTTTTAAATTACCAGCTATACGGTATTCATCTATGAATGGAATTTTGAGTAGAAGAGCTACATGTAAAAACTTGGCAGACTACGATTGACGGACTTCAAGACAATAATTAGAATAAAATTAATAGTTTAATAACGTATAGTACCACTCTCTCTCTCTCTCCATCTTGTAGTTGATGTTTCAGAATTTATTGAAGTCGTTGCCATTAGTTTCAAGGAGCCACGCCCACATGAAGCAGACGAGGGAGATGATGTTAGCAGGTGTTGCGTTGAAGCTAAAGTTAGTAACATACTGTGTGATGTAATTATGATGTCATGAACTTTTAGATAAAAATAAAGTTTTCTGTTGATAGTGTCAGTGCCTATATTGATTGCTCTTTTAGTCGAATTTTACAGGTCAATCAGGTACAAAATAAATTTTTCACTAATTTTATATTACAGTGTATTTTTTAAAGTATTCAGGAGGTTGACTTGACCTCTGTGTGTTCCAACGAAACCACAGGCTAGGCAGCGTAAGGTATGTTAAACACGTAGCATAAGTACAGTACATGTACATCAATATGCATCAGAAATGGAAATGGGCCCAGATTTGTGAGCCATTTTTATACATTGGTCCAATTTTTGAACACCTTTTAAAAATTTGTAAAAAAATTAAACTTCATCTAAATCAGTTCAAAATTTCTACATAACATAAGTACATGCATACGTATCAGAAAAATTGTAAAAATTAAAATTTTTCTTTCATTTTTGCTGAAATTTGCAAAATTCCTGGTACAGGATGTTGGCCTCATTTTTGAGCAACTTTAAAATTTATATAAAATCTAAACTTGATCGGAATCAGTTCAAACTTTGTACACAACATAGAAACATGTATTTGTATCAGGAACAATTATAAAATGGAGAATTCTCTCCTTTTCATTTTTGACAAAATTTTAGACAAAATCCCTGTACTAGAGTATGGGATGTTGCCCCCATTTTTGAGTAACTTAATAACCCACTGACAAGAAGCTGCAGGAACATTATGCCAGACATATTACTAATGCCATCTCTTTCAAATCAAGTATTAACTGAGAATGATGATACAACATTATATCATTAACCATCTTTCGGGACTGAATCCCTAACTGATGATTTGTATTAACTGACTCAGTTTATTACAATGTACTAACAACTAGCTGTTCTTGTTGCTACATGTACATGTACATACGTGTACATGTATTGGTCTTATTTGGGCGGTGTGATTTTAAAGAATACACAACGCTATACAAAAATGGCTCCAAAATTACCCCCAGTTTTTATTACATTTTCTGATACATATTGATGTCCTTATGCTATTTAGAAAGTTTGAGCTGTTTCCAACAAATAATTTTAAAGTTATGAGCATTTTAAAAAATCGGCCAATTTTTGAAAATTACCCAAGGCTATATAGTATAGCCCATGCTTTTTTCCAAAAAATGGCTCCGAAATCACCTCAATTTTATTACATTTTCTGATGCATATTGATGTCCTTATGCTATGTACAGAGTTTTAGCTGATTCCAACAAATAATTTTTGAGTTGTGAGCACTTTTAAAATGAGCCAATTTTTTAAGAAGAGCAAAATTTTGTTCTGAAAAATGGTTCTGAAGTCGCCATAATTATGTTTTTTTTTTTATTTCTGGTGCATATTGAGTTTTGACCATTTTGAAACTGAGGTAATTTCTAAAAAGAGGTTCCAAAATCACCTCTAATTATTGTGTCTTTAACCTTTTTGGCTGATTTATAAATTTCAACCCTCAAAATGTATTCAGTGCATTGCCACTGCAGTTAGTAACTTAGTACTGATCAATGTTGTACATGTACATGTAACAAGTTCCCTAAGGTCTGGTTTATTATTAATATGTTGTAGGGTCTTGTTGGATACTTTGTCATTGAGTTTGAGGTTCCCTCTTATCCTGTGTACTTCAGTACTAGTCCTCAAGATACACCTACTCACTGGCACCAGAGGATATTCTTCCTCAATGAACCCATACAAGTTCAAACAGGTGGGTCTGGTTTAAGACTAATGTACTCATTACTGTCTATACTTATTAATTGGAGTCAGTATATCAAATACTGTCTGTCTGTTTGTATGTACATGTATATCACTCCTTATTATACATGTACATGTATGTTGATTACTATTGTTAATTATTGTTATTATTATTATTAGGTGATCTATTACGTGGTTTCTATAAGAGCAGGGATAGTTCAAGATCACTTGATATCAAGATACAGATGATGTTATTCCCACTCTCAAAAGAATCCCAAGTACCAGAACACATGTACACTATCATCATGTGTGTTTAGTTTGTCTTTGGAATTAATAACATTATTGTTAAACTCTTCGCTAATTAATATATTTTTTAATATTTAAAACAAGCAATAATAACGAAGCAAATCAATTATATCAAGCATCAATGTTAATATTAAAATCAAGTCCCAGTTCATTTCTAATAGCTTCAATCCAGTCCTCACCTAAAGCTATTGCTGCATCAGCATAACTGCCTCTTACAGCAATGAATGAGTCTAAGAACTTTTGACAGTGCTCCTGCACTTGAGGTAACTTCCTCTTAAAACTAAGACTAGCCTTGAACTCATCGATACACTTGTCCATTGAAGGATTCACTCTGACAGCATTATTGACCAAACGAAGAGCAAATAATTTATTGGCAAGATCAGGGACAGCTTCCATTGGTAGTGAAGTAAGATCAGCATAATGAGATACAAGAACATCATTGATGACTTTCTTTACTTTATTGACATCAACAGTAGCTGATGGACCTAATAGAGGTCAAAGGTCAGTATATACACACATTATTATCACTTACTAGCTCCTCCAGTGGATGATACTAACGTTGATTCATGTACTACATTAGAGGAGGAGGTAGTATGGCCTGTGAAATGAGGTATTATAAAATTAATTTTAATTATCATTGACTTGCTCATTAATGGAGGAAGAGCAGGAGGTGATTTGTTGATGTAGACAATTTTTGAAGGATCTATTCCAGTTAATTTAATAGGACAATGAAGGGGCTTTGTAGCAACACCAATTTCAGCATACACTGACATACTGCAGGTTGCATATGAGGGAGAGGGACATGATGAATAATGCTCAATTGTAGACTGAAGTAACTATAGTATAAAGAAAGACATTGCATGATTTAATTCCATAGGCACATACTTCCATTGGTTCTCTGTCAAGATAAACAGTCCATCCTTGCTGAAGTTGAGTAGTTTGTAGTGTCATTTTGAGTGTTCCATTTGGTTGAATAAACTTGAATGAATCAGCAATATCATCATATTCAACTGACGTCTGCTTGTTCTCTAAATACTATACATGAACATAAAGACAACAACACTAATCAATAAAAGCCATACATTATTATGTATGTGTGCACAAAAATGCATGTATAATAATACTTTACCGTTTTAAGAACTTCCAAATCTCTAACAACAGAATACATAGCTTTCCAATGACCAAGTTCTTTCTTATCATAGTACATCATTCCAGAATACAATGTATCACGAAAATGTCCTAAACATATTTAGTTCCCATAATGAAACATGTATAATATACCATTATTACCTGAATGTGTAGTGGAATGATCAGTAGAGGATTGTAGTGATTCATCATCATTCCTTGCTGGACACTGTTCACTGGATACAGTAGCTTTAGGTTCATCAGAATCACTTGGTACATGATCTGACTTCTGTACTGTTGGTTCATCAGTAGTATGGGATCCTACATCATGGACTAACTGAGAAGGATCATCATTAATTGAGTCTATAAGGTAAAGCATAACATGCAGTATACATGAT